TTATGTGGTATAAGCTATATGTAAACACAAAGGTGGTATCTATTTTTTTTATGGAACATGGCCATACTCTTTATCTTTGAGACAGCTGGTTTAATGCCAGTCATTACTTTTCCTACATGGGAATTTGTCTTGACACTTTTAAACTTGTATGGGTTCCCCTTCTTTGTCTTATTTGTCATTTTCCCACTCCAAGGACAATCTTTTTCCTTGAAATTTTGTAATAGTATTGCATACTTCGAATCACATGCCCCACCCACTATGGAAAAAACTGCTGCAGATATTGTTACAAAGCATCAACCTCATTTATTTTTTGTTTGCTTGAAGAACCTAACTGGATTTTAAACACAGCAGTGCAAATCTTCAATATGATAGATCCCCTGGTCTTGCTGAAGGGAAAGTCACTGAGATACATGTGTTTGCTTCTTTGTGCTACACTTTCTTTGAGAAAAGGGACATGATAAGAAAAGTTGGAGTACACACCTGCCTCCTCCCTTCAACCCCTGTTGTCCTCTAAAGCTGACTCTAACTTTGTGATAAAGCAAAGAAGTTTTGAGATAAATAGGGAATGCTGGGGAAGACAAAGCATGAAGAGGAGAAACCAAGAGACATAAAAGCAGATGGTTGCAGCACAGTATTGGCCACAGCCGTATACAATTGTGCTGGACATGTTTCAAGGCTGCCGTGGTTCTTTGGGTCCTTCCTGAGTAACTCCTTACCTCTTCACCTAGCTACCAGCTGTGCTCCTCCACCCTCCTTATGTCATATTATGTAACTTTCATTCTTCAAAACCCACTCTGTTGCTTCATACTTTATGCCTTTTTATATCTGTTGACATTTTGATTGTTTTCCTTATGCAATCTTCAAACAACACATGCTGAACTTGAAGTCAACTTCATGCATGTGAATTGCAGGTGTTAGGTCGCTTTCTTTACTGTTCTTATTGTTAAGTTTTCTTAATGATTTTTGGTAGGGAGCTTTGAAGATACATCAAATGTTGATATTGGCCGGGCGCGGTGGCTCAAGCCTGTAATCCCAGCACTTTGGGAGGCCGAGACGGGCGGATCACGAGGTCAGGAGATCGAGACCATCCTGGCTAATACGGTGAAACCCCGTCTCTACTAAAAATACAAAAAACTAGCCGGGCGAGGTGGTGGGCGCCTGTAGTCCCAGCTACTCGGGAGGCTGAGGCAGGAGAATGGCGTGAACCCGGGAGGCGGAGCTTGCAGTGAGCTGAGATCCGGCCACTGCACTCCAGCCTGGGCGACAAAGCGAGACTCCGTCTCAAAAAAAAAAAAAAAAAAAAAAAAAAGTTGATATTGATCTAATTCTACTTTATATAATTTATTTTGCAGAGATTTAAAAAAAACTAATAATAAAAAGTCAACTTTAAACTAGAGTTCAGCTGACTAGAACTCTCAAGCAACTTTTTTCTCCTCAATTTTTACTTACAGAGAAAGGTATTGTGACAAGTCAGCAACTTATATAAGGGATATGCTCTAAAAAACTAACATCTCTAAGGTGAAATTTGAGAATCAGCCCACAATCTATTCTTTTTTCTTTTTTTGAGATGGAGTTTTGCTCTTGTCACCCAGGTATATTTAACATTTACATCAGTAGAATTGTGCAATGACAACTAAGGTTTAGAATGAATCATTAAGGAATAATTTTATTTATTTAACAGTAATCGAAAGACAAAAATAAATGTTGACATATTTTCTATATATAAATATACACACATGTTTTCATAGCAAGGCTTAATTAAAAAGGATTTCAGTTGCTCAAGTTTCTGATTACCGTGGGAGAACAATGAATTCCTTCAGAAAACTGTTTAATTCATTTTTCTTTTATATGTGACCTAAAATTTCTAACTTATGAGAGTAGTTGGAAGATGTTTTGAATTAGTATCTCATTTCAAAAGAGATAGGGATCTTTCTGATTTGGTGTGACCTACTTCTTGGCAAGTAGTGTAAAAATATTTGGATATGAAAATGAAATCTAAATCCCAACTTTAGATCAGGATATTAAATATCACTCAGTAATTTACTTGGGGTTTATTAAATTCTGAATAAAATTTTGTCTGTTCTCTGTGGGAAGGAAAATCGTTACATAGTGGTATCAAGGGGTTCCAAGTCTAACGTGGAGGATTTTTCTTAGTGTCTGCCATGTCAAATGGATAAAGGAAATCATAAATAGATGAATACATTTGACTACATTAAAAAACATAAATCATATTTAATCAAAAGTCTTTTATTGATTTAATTCCTGCCTTGTTTAATTAAGGATATTGAGGTAGTTGAAGTAGACTAAAAAGGAAAATATGCAAATTAAAAGGCAAATAACCTTTAGGAAAAATGTTTTAAGTATGTACAGATAGTTAATTCCTTGATTAAATGAATAGCACATAAAATTGATAAGAATATTAACATTCTCATAGGCTAATGGGAATAAAAATTGACCGATACTTTGAAAAAAGGAACTAGAACTACGAAATAAATTGAGAAATGTGTCCAATGTCAATAATAGTAAAATAGATGCACATTTTATTCAATTGTAAAAATTATAATACATTGTGGATGTTTTTCAGTTACACTAACCAATGCTACAGATATGTTGAAACTGACATTTTCTTAACACTTGTGCATTATGCTTTGGTTTGCCAACACCTGGCCTATAGAATAACATCCAGATTCTTAGCACACCTCCCTTTACAATCTGTTCTCAGTCTAATTTTCTCAGGGTGCATCTCCATGACTTTCCCACACACAACTTTCTTGCTGGCCTTGCTGAAGAGATGTGCTTCTCACTCTTCACTACTACTGTCCATGTTGGTCTTTCTGACAGACCATTTACTTTCTACATTGTCATCCTCACAAATACCTATTTGTTACTCAAATTTTACTACTGGTCTCATCTCCTCTCTACTCTCTGAAGGCTTCCCTAAAGACTCTTGTAATCTTTATTTTTTTCATTCTCTCTGCCCCATAAAATATTGTCTCCAACATTGTTATAAGGACTAGACTCAATAATTGCTTTGACATGTGGCAAATTTTCTAGGTAGGAAAGAGGTGTTCTGTGATACCTACTCATCACCTATCTGATACCCTATCAAGGAAATTATTTTGATACTTCATGCCTTATTTTGGCATGTTATTTCTATTTGACTAAGATAATTTACTTCTTTTTCTTACTTTATATGATTATATACAAATGAGCATAGTCTGTTATTACTTTTCAAATGCTAACTTTTATCCTAATATCTGTCTCTATCTCTCCTCTTTCATTAGCCTTACTTCTCATACAGTATTACTTTTAATCTTCTTACTTGTCTTCAATCCAGACTTTGTAAGGTACTTAATTATTGCAGGTGTAAGCATCTGTTAAGTTTGGTTTATCTTCTTTTGAGTCATACTGATCATTCACATTCATAGATTGAATTATGTGTTATTTTTATTATAAATTACTTTTATTTTCTGTTTTATTTTACTATTATAAATTATATGCTTGTTTGTTTTTAATTTAGTTGTGTACGTAGGCTAACTTACCAACGTATTTTATGTCAAGATAATAAAGAAATATTACACAATATTTATTATAAAAGAGGCACTGTGTCTGGCCGGTTTGAAGCTACAAACATAATGTCTCATGTCTACATAAGGTGTGCCTGGGAAGTCCCACAGAGAGCCCAACAGCCACCTTGTGTAAGAACTTTGTTAGCACTAACTAGGATGAAGCAGAAAGCCTGGAAATGTGAACTGACTATGCTGGCTATCTTTGTTCAACTACATTGCCCTACAAATGGTCAAGACTTCGGTGGCAGTTTTAAAACTGAAAATATAGATTACAATAGTCAAGGTTACTACTCTGGACATGCAAACTTTGAGTATAAAAAGTAATTTAATAGCTCTAAGGTGAAGTAAAACTTTGAATAAAAACCAGAGGTTTCAGTGTCATGTGGGAAATGGTCTAGATAATCTTTAATTGCAATCTGAATCTTTAGGTTCTTCAGATTCTTCACTACTGAATTCCTATAATTCTGTATACACAATGTTATCAGGTATATTATTAATGTTAAGTATGTTAAAAGTGAATCTAAATATCTTTTTTACCGAAGCAAAAATATTAAATAGTAATTATAAATTTTTGCTATCATATTGTATTTCTCAAGTCTAGCAATTGTCAATTTTCTTAAGTTTTCCAAGAATCTTTTATAGTCTTAAAAATTATGGAGGTCTCCAAAGAGCTTTTGCTTAAGTGGGTAACATCTATTAATATTTTACATAATGGAAATTAAAACTAAGACATTAAAATATAATGTAACAATTCATTTAAAGTGACAAAAGAAACAATTACATAATATTATACATAAATTATATTTAAAGAAAGAACTGTATTTTCTAAAACAAAAAATATAGTAAGAAGAATGGCATTGTTTTGCAGTTTTTCAAATATCTCTAATGTCTGGTATAATGGCTGGATTCTAATATTTGCTTTTGTATTTAATTTGTTGTTCTATGTTGTGGCTAACTGTATGGAGAAAATCCATTCTTACACAGATGCATATTTGGAAAAAAAACAAGGAACATTTTAATAGCCTTTTAAGATAACTGGATTTCTTTCCTGAAATATAAGTACATATGTCAAAACTCAACGTGTAATTGTTTCTTAACGGTTAGTTGGAAAACAGCATTGCAAATCATTTTAATGAACTTTTCACATACTGTAATATCAAAATCCAATGGCCTGTCTTGCATATTGAATGAGTCTACCTATACATGATTTTGTACATTATATAGTCTTAATTTAGAAAATGTGGGTTCAATTATTTCTGATGATCTTTTCATCATTGACTCGATATAAAAAAAATCACATACATCAGTATCATCACTGATCTCTTGAAAAAATCATTAAGTATTGTGAATCCACCAGTCTCATCACAGCAGATAAAAATCTCTAGCATTCTACTTTTCACTTAAAAGCGTGGATTATATCAGTGGTAACAGATACGCCTAATACTCAAGTGTGAATAACCATAGTGTTTTTGTCATTGTTTTAATTTAAGATGATGGTCCAAGGGAAAAAATGTCCAGTTCAGCCTGCAACTCAACAACTGTAAGAAAGCTTTTTTCCAAGAAATAATTGTATTTCTAGATGGCATCAGTGGCAATTTACACATACTTCCCCTTTTATCAACAGAACATTAAGGTAGGTACTTAAAGAGTCAAGATTTAATGTAATTTATGTTTTGTATTCTTTCATCAAAAATATTTTTAGGGAGCATATATTTAGGGCAACTTGAATCTATGTCTCCCAGGTTGCAGTCTTCAAATTCAGCCCGAATAAACTGTCCATTTACATTTAATTTTTTTTTTTTTTGAGATGGAGTCTTGCCTCTCTATCACCCAGGCTGGAGTGCGGTGGTGTGATCTCGGCTCACTGCAACCTCCACCTCCCGGGTCCAAGTGATTCTCCTGCTTCAGCCTCCTGAGTAGCTGGGGTTACAGGTGCCTACCACCACGCCCAGCTAATTTTTGTATTTTTAGTAGAGATGGATTTTTACCATGTTGTCCTGGCTAGTGTCAAACTCCTGACCTCAGGTGATCCACCTGCCTTGGCCTCCCAAAGTGCTGGGATTACAAAGTGCTGTGAGCCACTGTGCCTTGCCAAAAAAAGAACATTCTTAAATGAAACCAGCTTTTTTTTTTTTTTTTTTTTTTCCTGCACGTGCATGGTGGGAAAAAATACAATGAGCACTAATACAGTTTGGCTCTATTTCCTTGATTTGTGCTAAGAAGCACTATTTTTACCCTTCATTTCGCCATTGTAAAAATATTAGTTTACTTAGTGAAAAAGGTAAATAACATGTTAGTACTAGTAGGAAAAGTTTTTGACAGATCCCCGCTGGAAGGGTCTCCATCTCAGGTGTTCACAGAACACCCTTTGAGAACTGCTCGTCTAGTCCTTCTAACTTTTTCTCTCTAGAATGATTATTTCTTGCTTTTTATCTATCCTAAAACTTACATCTCTGTCTCCATCCTCATTCTTAACTTTATTTACTTAAATATAGAGAATTTCTCAAACTCCTTTATCAAATCTACCTACCAACCAGCACCTGGGTCAAAATATTCTGCCTTCCTTCCCATTTCTGTGGCTGAATTATCTATTCATGCTCCTATCTCATGCCATCTCCACCACTTTTGCCTTTGATTCTGAGACAGGAGTTCAGCAAAACTTGTTTCTCAAGACACAGGTTACAAAGACCCTGCTGATAAAACAGAATGCTGTAAAGAAGCCAGCAGAAACCAGTCAGAATCAAGATGGCAACAAAAGCTACCTCTGGTTGTTCTTACCGCTCATTATGCACTGATTATAATGGATAAGCCTGCTAAAAGAAACTCCTACCATTGCCACCAGTTTACAAATGCCATGGCAACGTTTGGAAGTTACATGGTCCAAAAGGGCAGGAACCCTCAGTTCCACTCCCTGCTTTTTTCCCAGAAAACTGATGAATAATCTACCCCATATTTAGCATAAAATTAAGAAATAACCATAAAGATGGCCAGCCAACAACCCACGAGGGCTACTCTGCCTAGGGAGTAGCCACCCTTTTACTCTTTTGTTTTCTTAATGAACGTGCTTTCATTTTACTCTGTTGTCTCACTCTTGAATTCTTTCCTGTGCAAAGTCAACAACCCACTTGGCCTCCTGGCCTGAGCCTCAATTTTGGGGTTTGCTGTGTGACAATTCCATCTTCCCAAGATGTTTAAAATTGGACTCTTCATCTTCTTCCCAACATGGTACATTGGCAGTCTTCTCATCTCAATTAATGGCAACTCAACCCTTTCCATTATGTTGGCCTAAAGCATTGAAATCATCCTGCATGACTCTCTTCTATCATCCCTGACAGCTACCCTGTCAAGATACCACATTTATTCTAGCTTCAAAATACATTTAGTTTTGAGTTCTGTCTTAACACCCCCACTGCTACTGCTCTGGTTCAAGCCCCCACTGATTATTATTTTAATTGGTTTGTAATTGGTCTTCTGTCTTCCAATCTTGATTTTCTATAGCCTGTTATCAAAACAACAGCTAAAGAGATATTTTAAAAACTGAAGTCAAATCACATTAACTTCAAAAGTCATCCTATCACACTTAACGTGATAGCAGAAATTTTCAGCAGCCTGTCAGCTTTGCATGATTTGGCCTTCAATCTTTTCTTCCTTTCTCACTGACGTTATCTCCTTTCTCTCTTTGCCTGACTTACTTTGCTCAAATCACAGAGGCCTCCTTGTAGATCTTTGGAGCCACAAGGCATGATCCTAATTTACAGCCATACTGTACTTCTTCCTGAAGGGCATTTCCCCCAATACCTGATTTCCCCCTTACTTCACATTGCTTCTCAAATGCCACTAATCAGAAAACTCTCCTTGCGTACCTATGTAAAGTAGCCTTACTACAGCCACTCTATTTCCTTAACTTGCTCAATACATACTTATAGTAAGTATCATCCTTGGACATATTATTTATTTATTTAATTATTTGTTGTCTATTTCTATGATTCTATTAGAATGTAAGCTCTGTGAAGACAGGGACATTTTCTTTTTCTTTAATTAATTTTTTTTTTAACTTTAAGTTTCAGGCTACATGTGCAGAATGTGCAGGTTTGTTACAAAGGTATCTGTGTGCCATGGTGGTTGGCTGCACTTACTAGCCCACTAAGCCCCACATGCATTAGCTATTTGTCCTGATACTCTCCCTCCCCTTGCCACCCCCCAACCCTTTCTAGCTCCAGTGTGTGTTGTTCCCCTCCCTGTGTCCATATGTCCTGATTGTTCAACTCCCACTTATGAGTGAGAACATGTGGTGTTTGGTTTTCTTTTATTGTGTTAGTTTGCTTAGGATGATAGCTTCCAGCTTCATCAGTGTCAAGACAGGGACAATTTTCTGATTGTTACTGCTATGTTTCTGACTCCTAGAACAGTTCCTGGCATGTAGCAGGCATTCAATACAGATGTTTTTGACACTTAGATCAAGATGGCTGGCTAAAGGTGCTCAGCACTAACCTCCCTAAAAAAGAAGGACCAAAACAACAAATAGATAACCACAAGTTGAATAGAGTGTCTAGAGAACACTGGAATTTAGCAAGGAAGTGACAGAGACTCTCTGAGGCATGGAAGCTTGGGATAGGACCATAGAGAGCAAAGCAAACAAACTGGCCAGGATTAACTGGAAGAACTCATTCAGGGAGAAGTAAAGCAAGAGATCCTCAGCAATCCACACTCTTACTACAGATTCCTGCAGTCCTAGTTATGAGAGCCCAATAGCCCTGAAGGCCCCGAACACAATACAGGGAGCTGCCTGGAGTCCACAAAACTGTATTATTCCACAGAGGAAATTTACACTGGGTCCTCCCAACTCACTGACACCCAGGTTACTGCAGCCTGGTGCCATTTTGAGAGGGGAGCAAACATAAGACTGCATCCTGCCCAGGGGCCTAATAGCCCTTGCATCTCCATATCCCTGGGGCACCATTGACATGACACCACATCTACCCAGAGGGCTGCAGTGTTTTGACACCAGTGATGCAGCCATGACCTTGGGACCCAAGCCAACACAGTGCCCTGTACTCTGGGGAACAAGAGGTCCAACACAGCAGGAAAGTTGCCCTCAAGAGAGTGGGAGCCAGTGTGTGATCTTCTCAGAACCTGAGAGCTGCCCACCTGGGGTCTGCTGCCCTTACCATCAGCAACTCTGTCCCCTTCAGCAGTGGAACCACCCAGGGGCTGAAAACTGGCTTGCCCATAGCCAGCTCACTGTTGTCGGCAACCCTGCCCCCTTCAAATTGGATCACCAGAGCCCAACAACCAGCTCACACAAGGCCTGCTGCCCCCGCTGTCAGGTAACTTTGTCCCTTTGGCAGCAGAACCACATGGGAGCCTGAAGATCAGCCTACATGGGGCTTACTACTGCCACCACCAGCAACCCTACCTTCCTCAACAGTGGGGCTGCTATGCACCTGCATGGCACCCAGAGGTCCAAGGACTGGTCTGCCTGGTTCTCGCTACTACCACCATTGACACCCTGCCCTTTCCAGCAGCATAGCTATTGCACACCTGTGCATGCCTCTCAGGGACCTGAGGGATCTACCTTCCCAGTGTCCTCATCCTCAGCAAAGCCACATCATAGCCTCCACAAGCAACCACAGCCTACACCACTGAGGCATTTGCAGACACTGCTGTTACTGATTATGGCCAAAGAAATCATGCAGAGACTACACTACTGCATCCACCCAGAAACAAAACAAAGCACCCTACCTAACTAACACTATAGGACACATTTACAGGAAAAGGTCTCTAATTATGGAAGCTACTTCATAAAGTTGGGAGAAGTAACTATTTCACCAGAAGTTCAGATATAAACATAGGGCCACAAGAAACCAAAACCAAAACCAAAACCAAACCAAACCAAAACAAAACAAAAAACAGGAAGGAAACAGAACATCTCCAAAAGAACACAATAATTATCGAGTAACATGCCCCAAAGAAAAGGAAATGTGTGAAATGCCTGATATGGAATTCAAAATAATAATCTTAATATTAACAAAATCAAGAAAACAATTCATGATCTAATAAGATTCAGCAGGAAAAGCAAGGGTGGTTAATGGGTACAAAAATAAAGTTAGAATGAATAAGATCTAGTATTTGATAGCACAACAGGGTGACAATAATTTATTGTACATTTAAAAATAACAGTATAACCGGAGTGTTCATAACACAAAGAAATGATAAATGCTTGAGGTGGTGAATACCCTATTTACCCTGATGTGATTATTATACATTGTATGCCTGCATCAACATATCTCTTATACCCCATAAATATATACAACTACTATGTACACATAACAAAAATCTAAAAATTAAAAGAGATTCAACAGAGAGATAGATATCATAAAAAAGAACCAAACAGAAATGTTGGAAGTGAATAATTCAAGGAATTAAACAAAAAATCCAATTGAGAGCTTCAACAATAGACTAGAGCAAGTAGAAGAAAGCATTTCTAAATGTGAAAACAGGTCTTTTAAAAATAACCATTGAACACAAAAAAAGGAAAAGAAAAAGGAGGAAAAAAGAATGAAGAAAGCCTGTGTGACATATGGGACACCATTAAGTAAACAAAGTTTTGTGCTGTGGGAGTTTCAGAAGCAG